TTGTTTAGGAAATACATATTAACATATTTAGTTAAAAAGGCATGTAGTTCAGAAAATATATGCAGAGAGAATGCCAATGATGAAACAAATATTAACAATTAGTAAATCTCAGAAAAAGATATAAAGAATGCTCTATACTTCACTTGAACTTTTCTGGAAGCATAAAAATAATACCAAAATTTAAAAGGCATGTCCATCAAAGTAAAATATGGATTTAAAATAATGGCAAAGGGGCTGGCAGAGTGACTCAAGCGGTAGAGCAAGCATAAGGCCCTGAGTTCAAACCCCAGAACCACCAAGAGAATTAAAAAGTAAAGTCAAGCAATGGCAAAGTCATTCATTTATGGAAAGAAAGACATCAACATTGGGTAGTGAAAAAAGCCCAAGAAAACCACCTTGCCCCATTTTTGTTATATATATAAACATACATAGAAAAAAGTCTATGAAGGCTGTTTAGCAGAGTGTTAATTATCTCTGTTTGCTGCGATCATGAGGGACATGATTGTTTCTCTATATTTTCTAATTTTCCCACAGTGAACATGACTTGAATGAAAAATTTTCTTCCTGGTAAGCAAGAGTCTTTTCTAAGAAGAAGAAATGTAGCAGACCATTCTAAGCCAGCCCAAGCCCTATTTTGCTCACAGACAGAATAAATTATTACATAATCTTCTAATTTACTTTCTCAGCATTGTATATATAATTTATATTTTTCTCCTAGACAATTGTGCCTTTCTGCTAATTTACTTATCCTTTTTCATTTGCATCATCTGCCTTTCCAAAGAAACCCCACCCAAAACAGCCTTGAGGTTATTTATTATTCTACTCAACTGTATTATTTTATTTGTATCAAGAAGCTCTACTAATATCTACCTTTCTAATTTGTATAAAAAAATTCTGCTTCTAAAGGATCCACTCTTTGTTCCTTCCCCATCACATCCACAGTGCCAATGAGTATTGAATATTCATTCAATATCAGTGAATATTCAAAGTCACAAGATGAATATGCTTTATCTTCCTGGAGCAGCAATTTAACTCTGATACAGGAGGCAGGAGATGCCATTATTAGAGTAAAGCAACCCATTGCATTATGCAATCAAATTGAAAATTCCCACAAATTTTAAAAACCAAGTAGGAAACTTCCAATTATTTACTCTACAAGGCTTAAGGCAAACCTTCCCCCCAGTCTAGCCCTGAGAATCCTGGGGAAATTAGTTCCTTTCTGATACACCTTTAAGAACTCTCCAATGGAAAACTTTGAGAAGCAGCACTCTAAGACATCCATCCCTCTGATTGCTCCTCTATCAGCCATTCATTTTTCCACAGCCTTGAAATAAGCCCTTACCCTCAGGACTGTCTACTCACAGACACATGTCCTTTCAATAGCCATCTTTTGCTCAGAAACTGAATGTAGTAGGGAAACTATCGATGACATGGTATTCTTTTATTTTATTTTTGGCAGTTCCAGAATTTGAATTCAGGGCTTCACACTTGCTGGGCAGGCTTTGTACTGACTGAGCCATGCCTCCAAGCCCATGGTATTCTTTTAAATACTGACATACGAGGAATCTCTCTACTCCCATTTCCTCATGAGGGGCACTTTTTTCCCCTCATTTCTCTCTACTTTTATCCTGTTATACTAAATTTCTTTCCTAATAAACTTTACTATTATTTTTACACAAAAACATTCTGGCATTTGAAACATGCATAATCCAAAACACAAAAGTTAAGAAGAAAATAGTTATAGAACACAACTTAGATATTGCCAATTGCTTAGCAACAGGTGATCTGTACAGAGTAAGCTATGGAGGTAGCCCAGTTAAGTCTACAGTCACTACCAGAGAGTCACTACCTGCTTTTATCAAGATCAATTCAAAGTGTACAAGGCTTAAGTTGTACATACTAAAATGAAATACAATAGAATAAAGAGAGGCTAAGGAAAAAGTTCAGCAAGATAGTCTGATTAAATTACTTTCAACTTAGACTTTTGTCATGTATAGGAAAAGAAAAAGCCCCATTCCCTAAGTCAATTTTAATATGTGCACAAGGACATGTTTCCATTTAGACCACTCAAATTGCCTGTAATGAAAACAGACTATAAAAATTAATCTTAAAATAATGGGAGATTGACTTTTAAAAACAGTTTTGAAAGAAAAGGGCTGTAACTGGTGAAACCAATTTTCCTCTGATGTACTATGTACTTGCTTGATTTATCATACAAACATTTTGCTATGTTTCTAACCTTTAGACAATGCCTTAAATGCAATAAAGTCCCAGACTTGTTTCCTCAATAGCTTGAAAGCTGGCATTTATTGCTAGGTGAGAGAATCACTAGAAGGGAACAGGCATATTTAATAAAGGGTCCAGCAATGTTTAATTGTCACTTCAAACAGAAACCACTTTCTCTTCCTATTCCAGTAGCATTTGGATTACCTGTTCTGTTTTGGACTCTCCATACTATGTGTGATTTTGTTAAAATCCACACAAGGACAAAAATCACTTCAATTTGAAAGCAATAGGAAGGTCATATAAAATCCTGCCTTATGAATACTCAGGAAAGATGTATTGAATTAATTTGCTGACTTGATATATATAATATTTTTGAGAGAGGCAGCATGAGGATATTTCATTGCAAGAAAGCAGCCTCATCTAAATTTATAGGAAATGCATTAACAGGCCTCCTCTACTAAACAGCAGTAAGACTACAAAACCTGAATCAACAAGCCAAAAATTATGTGGCTGGGTTCTCAGAGCCAACATGAAATAAAATTTTGAAGCCGCCCTTGAATTAAATCAGGAAAAATAAAACCAATTTTTATTGAGCACCATGTATCATATAGAAGCAGCACTCAATATATTTTCGGTAACCAGAATGGTGACAATATTTTGTCAATGTTTCTCAAAGTACATCTCTTTCATCACTTACAACAGAAATGCGTTGCTATTACATTCAATTCATTCAAGAAATATTGGCACTGGGGATCTAGTAGTGAACAAACAAGACAAAAATTCTTACTTTCCCGGAACTTCATTTCTAGTTGGAATGGAGAAAAGTTAGACAAAAGATACAGTAGATAGTATGTTAGTTGTGAAGACTTTGGAGTAAAGTTTTAAAGAAAGTGAAGGTCTAAGTCATGCAGATATCTGAGGAGAATAGTAAGCATGTGCAAAAAGACCCTGAGTCAAGAATTTCAAGGAATCAGGCTGGAGGAGTGGCTCAAGTGGTAGAGTACCTGCCTCGTAAGCATGAGGCCCTGAGTCCAAATGTCAATACTGCTAAAAATAAATAAATAAAAAGAATTTCAAGGAATAGTTAAGGAGTCAATGTGGCCTGGCAAAGGAGATGAGAGAACGGCACAGAGGAGACCTCAAAGTCCTTGTAGGTCACAGAACAGAGTTGTAGCCATGGAGGGAGATGGGAAGAGATGAGGGTTTTGAGCAGAGGAGTGACATGGCCTGACTTAGGTTTTAACAGGTGTACTCTGGCTACTCTGTTAAGAATAAACAGCAGGTGAGCAAGGATAGAAGCAGGAATAAGAGCTAAGTATCTCTTATTTGACAGAATTTGGAGTTCAGTCCTTAGGTGATTCTTAGGCACAGTAAAATTAAAGAACTCTAACTTTAAATCATCTAACCAATTGAGACAAAAATTGATTTTATAATCTCATTATCTGATAATCACTAATCCATCACATGGCTTTGCCTACGGAGAAACTGGGTCTAAGTCATCCGAACTAAATTCGTCTAACAGTCTGTCGATTTGACCATTCGATTTCCAAGAAGAACTTCAGGAAGAGAAATTCAGAGGGATCTTGGCCCCTGCTTGGTGACACAGGGGAGAGGAGGAAATGCCTTCTCCTCTACAGAGGAGACTAGCGATAATGCAGTGACACAATGACGTATTTCAGAAGGCACAGGGCAGGTATTTTGTAAGCATGACAAATTTTAGCATTCAGCTAAAACACAAGCTATGACAAGATTTTCCTCAATTTTTTTTAAAGTAGAGATTTTCCTTTTCTGCCAGGCATGGTGGTACATGCCTGTAATTCCAGCAAGAGGCCAGCTTGGGTACATAGTGAGATTCTGTCTCAAAAAAAGAATTCCTTTTCTTTTTAAAATAGAAGCAAATAAGTACTTGTGTATCATTCTAAATGTAGCTAGATAGATTGATAGATTCTAAATTTATGATCCAAATTTATATATTTTTCCATATCCTATATATATATATTCTATAATGTATATTCTAGATATATACATCAAAATAAAATTCATTAGTGCTTTTAAAACACTAATGGAAATTTATCTTAATTTTAGTAATTTTTTGATAGTTTCATAATGATAATAATTAGCATTTGTGTAACTTTATAACTGAGATAATAAGGAGACCCATTTCCATAACCATGCATAAAAATTTCTTTCTACTTTATAGTCACACTATACACATATACCTCTATTAATTAGTTCGTAGTCTATTCAACATCGGATAACAAAGACTGTGTTTGGTTTATTTCTCTATTTTTTACACGCCTCTGACTTATTTTATACACTCCTTCCAAATTCTATACACAGTAGGCACACAGATAAAATCTTAATTAACCACTGACTAACCAATCTAGAGCAACTTATCACTAAGAATCAGTTATCAGATACTTTGATCTTCTATTTATTTGACTTCTTTGGCCCCAACCAAGACCAAATTTAAAAATTTCAGGAAGCTAAAGCTTGAAAACTGAAAGGGACATAAATACATTAAAATAGATTTACTGTACCAATAATTTACTTTCCATGAGAACATTTACGTCCTGCTGTGGTTTTTCCTTGACCACAATTTCCCTAAAGTGGTTGATTATTAAGGCTTGATTCAATGTGAACTCTTACAAACATACATAATAAACTGAACGTTTAAAAAGCATTGATTGTTAGCATTATGATCTGTTGTCAGGTATGGTTATTCTTTTGGATAGAGTACAGGTAATTGGTTATAAATAATGGATGCAGATTACCTTCTTGAGTGGAAGAAGCCTCTAGGTGTTGAAGTTTAAGGCCAGTGTCTAATTTTTGAGGCTTTGTATACAGGAATAAATAGCAAAGGACGCAGACGCTGAAGACAAAGGCAAGTAAAACAAGGGCGGCAATTCCCAATCCAATCAGAGCACCAATGCTGAGGAAAACAGAAAAATTACATCACACAAACTAAAGAAAATGGTTAAGTGTTAAATGTGGCCCTCAACTATTCATAACCAAACTATGTTTTAGCATAAACAGTAAATTTCTTAACATAATTTTTATTATGTTTTCACTATAGGTTTTCAAGGCCCTTTTATTTTTTAATTTTTTTCCATTTTTATATTCATTGTTCAAGGGAGATTCATTGTGGCAGTTCTGAATAGTCTTATATTGTACATTGGTTAGATCACCTCACCATCCACCCCCTGCCCTGCAACCCACTCCCTGCTCCGCTTCAAACAGTTGCCAGAGGTTTCATTGTTCTATTTCACATATGTATATGAAGGCCGTCAACCATATTCCCTCACCATCAACTCCTCCATTCACCTTTCCTCCTCTTCCAAGTATGCCCCCTGCCACTGCACCTATTTTACAGTCCTGTCTTTCATTTTTAGTTCCAAAGTCAATGTTCAAAGAGGTTTCTCAGTGTATCCCAGCTGCAAGTACACTTTACTTTGGTCAGATCAACCCCTTCCATTACTCTCCCTTACCTTTTTCCCCAATCCCCCATTATTCAACAGCTTTCAATACATATCATTATATCATATACCTTCACAGATGTTATACTTTTTGATTTCGTTGATGCTCTATCATACTCTTTCTTTCCCTCCTCCCCCAAGTTCTATTACAAAGATAGTCTACTTCTGAGTTTGTATATGATCATGTTTGTCTTTGTGTATGTTTATCTTTTGGATCTCTCTTACACATATGAGAGAAAACATGCAGTGGTCAAGGCCCTTTTAATTTATATGTTAATATCAGTAGGGAAGAGCATGTGAATTCATAATATAGGTCACATGATACTCTAGGTAGTTCAAAGATGTATCTAATAAATCTTTATTATTACTATACCTTAAAATGAAAGATCGGGTTCACCAATAAATGATAAATAGAAAAATATTTGTTTCTGCAAATGTTGTGAAGCAAATGTTTATCAGAAATATAAAACTTTTCTTTTGGATTCATATGAGAGATATTATTTATTGATATACAAAGCCACAACTCTAAAACAGAAGGTTTGAATTCAAGAAAAACCATGTTTATGAAGTTCACATTCAGTCTGAGCTTTTCCTGTCCAGAGAGAATGACACCAAAGGCCTTTAGCCTTAGGGAAGAAACCCTTGTACTTTTCTCCAAAAGTAATGTGTACAAAAACTGTATTTGTTTAGGACTAAATTTGTAATAATCTATTTGATGCAGTTACCTATAAGGCTAATCGTTTGAGAATACAGTTTTCATAGAACACCTGTGAACTTAGTACTATAGGAGCTTGCAAAAAACACCATCATTTTTTTAGGTAGGACTGCTATGCAAACATATGCACCTTTTGAACTTGGTGTGTACGTGCGTGTGTGTGTGTGTGTGTGTGTGTGTGTGTGTGTGTGTGTGTGTGTGTAACTATCTGGAACTAAATTTGAAGCTGCTAAAGAACAGATATTTCAGTTGACTTTCCCATAGTGTTGTGTGCAATTGTTACAAGTATTTATGTGCTTTGCTTGTAGAAATAGTCAGTAGGTGGAAATAAATACTAATTAACTGTTGGTGGATCTACCTGTAGTAATTTGGAACACACATAACACTGGGAAGTAATTATCTTTTTCTTCAATTATCTTCCTGGCTTGCCTTTAGGCTTCTATTCTTTCCAGGATATTAGGACCCTGGCAAACTTGACTTGGACCAAAAGGCAAGGAAAATAGAATTTGACCAGGAATGCTCAATGCACTGCTGCTTTAAGAGGAAGGAGAACAGTACTGAAAGTGAAGGGCTAAGTTCACACCACTTATCCTTGATTTGATGAGATAAAACACCCCTGAAGATAAGAGATTGCTCCTTGAACTACAATATGGAGTCAGACATCCACAGATGCCTGTACTTGGTTTACTAACATTGGCCCAGACCCACCAGCTGTGCACACGGGGAAGACTAAGGTCATTTCATGGCAGAATCAGTACAGAGTCACATATGTAAACTTGGGGGCTGCCCTCAGATGGTGCACTTTCCTCTAAGGCACTAGACTCTCCACATCTGGCAGTGACTGTATAATGCTCGTGTGCAGCAAAGATGATTTTTATAGATTGTGTCAGGGAGAGTAAGGATCACTTCACTATGCACAGACACATGAGGATGTAATTCATTTAATATTATTTGGTGCACAAAACAGAAGATTAGACATCTGGGCAGATTCCTGAAATCAGAGCCCAGTTATTAAAAAAAAATCTTCAAAGTAGAGAAGTGATTTAGTCAATTAAAAAGTAAAATTATCAATCTAGTTAAATTCAACATATCTATTGTGAGCTTTTAATGAACAAATGTGAAAGCCAACCCATGCAATTTAAAAGAAAACAAAAACAAAGCTTGTCATTTCTCTTTTCTGTTATAAAAGGAGCTTCGTTCAATGTTACAGTTCCACATCCTAGAAACATTGGTTTATGCATACACAGGTCTCATTTTAACAAACAGTTACTTAGTACCTATTCATGCATAGCTCTAATAGGCATTATTTTCATAGGTCCTGGAGAAAATTACCAAAGAAATCCTAAGAATTTAGGAATTTACAGGAGGAGAAAGATGCGAGTGGGCCAGACACAGGAAGGGCTTTTTTCTCACAGCATCACAGGCAGTTGCTTTTCAAGCTCCAAGAGCGGTCTGAAGCTGCCATCATGTATTGTAGCAATTCTCCTACTTAGCAACTTCACTTGCCTAGTGCCAACTACTGCTGTCTTTCTTCAGCAGCTGCAGAATTTCAATAAAAGAGGTAGTGACGTCTGTAATATTTTTCGCAGTTGGACTATTTTAAATTAGGTGCGATGAGCAAAGACTAGGAAGCAAATGAAGCTTTAATAAATTTTCCTCCCCATTTTGTCCCCAGAGCTCAATAACTCACAGGAACCCCAGGTTTAATGTTGGGAACTGATGCACTCTATTAAGGTGATTTTTCTATTTCCTGGGACCTGAGCTGATTGTGCATTTGTCAGTGCTGAATGAAGACCCCAGCAGGTTGTTCACTCTTTTGTACTCTCATAAATCTTAGGAATGTTTTATATCCTTGCTGCTTGTCACTTTGGAACTACTTCAGGATTTAAGAATCTTAGGCACCATTTCCAGCTGACTTTGACTTAGGCATTACCAGTCTCTGTTGGAGGCTCTCCTGCCATTATTAACACCTTCAAAGAATCAGAGATGGATCACTATGTCATTTCCAAAATGCCAGTTTCAACACAGTTTTATTCCCCCAAATAATCTACTGAAGGTATGTTTGCATTATTTTCTGTCATTTGGTTTCACTCCACCACAAATTTTTGAACTGAATTTACAGAAAGGCACTCCTTTTGAGACTTTATCCAAGCTTTCAGTATAGAAAAATATTTTATTGCTTTAAGAAATAGTATTTAGCCATTTGCTGTAGACTCGGCATATGTGACAAATTCTGGGTCATGTTGGGAGATTGGGAGAAATAAAACTGTACCTCTTCCTAGTCCCATCTCTCTCTCTCTCTCTCTCTCTCTCTCTTCTCTTTCTCTCTCTTCCTTTTTTCCTATGATCTTGAGACCCATTTATGCTCCAGGCAAAATGAAAGAATCAACCTCAAAGTATGCAATATTTTGAGGAGAAGTGGGAAAAAAGCACTTCATAATGAAAATGTGTGTAAATTCTAGTTAGAATAAGTAAAATTCCCATCATAGGAAAAAGAAACAAAAGACTCGTCTTAGAAAGTCTCTTTACTTTCCAGCAGTGGTCAAATGGCTCAGGTGTTGAGAAAAAGGGTGCCCTGGAACTCAGGTATATACTCAGAAGTACTAAAAACTCTATCTTTCTGTGGATATCTCTTCAATTTGATTGGGTAGTGTCAGTGTCGGATTCTGAAAAGTGTGAGTTATAAAGCCCAATCTCATTTGCGTACCCGTGCAAAACACATACACACACCCCTCCTTGATATTTTGAGGAATACAGTCATATCCTTCACACCCGGCAAAAGACTGAGTACTCTGGTCCTTAGGTAATACCTTAAATTGATCCTTTTTTGTTCAAATGTCCCAAATGAACAAGCGATCAGACAGAAGAATTAAAATCTTCACCTTAATTTACCTGCTTGACCTGTCTGCCAGAGAAGCCTCATGCCTGGGACCTGCCCCAGCTGAGGCCCGCGAGGCGAGGCAGGTGGGGATTTGAGCCGGGACAGCATCCTCGGGCCTGGGGTGCGCCCTGGGCGCAGAGCCCGCGCTCTTCCCGCGCCCCCGCCTTGCTTCGGGGCAGAGTTCGGGGTCGGGGCGCGGTTTTTCTCCCGGGCCCCCACTGGCCCTGCGAAGCTGTGATCTTTTCAGAGGGACCTGACCAGGGCGGGTGGTGGAGTCGCGGGCGATCTCCCTGTCTCCGGCGTGACACTGCCATCGCCTCCCCAGACCCCGGCCCGGCCCCCCGCGCGCACCCTGCCCTGCGCACCTGAGGCTCCACATGTAGCTGTGTTTGTAGGGAAAGTAGCTGCCCGGCTCGCTGCAGCAGTACTTGAGGTCGGCGAAGCCGCAGCAGTAGAGCAGCGCGGCCCCCTCGCCGCGCCGAGGGCACTGGAAGGGCTCCACGAAGCTGCGGTTGAGGCTGAAGTAGCCTGAGCACAGCCGGCTGTTCTCGCTCATCGCGGGCGGCTGTCGGCTGGGCCACTCGCGAGTCCAGTACCTGCAGCGCCCCGGTGCCCTCTGCCCCGCGCGCCTGTGGCGATCTGGAGTCTGGCTGCCTGGGTGCTCAGCCTCCGCGCGCCCCCTCGGCTCGCTCTCCTCCCCCTGTCCACATGGGGCCCGAGCACTTTACTGTCGCTCTCCTGCTTGCTGCCGAAAGGCGCTTTTATCTGCGCGGCTAGGCTCGCTCTTCTTTTTCCGCTTTCTTTGCGTTCTGCTGACTTCCCTCCACTTTCCCTCACTTCATTAATTGCCTGGAGACTGTCCCCACTTCATACCAGAAAGATCTCGCCAGAGGGAAAACTGGAGATGGGGGACATGTTTGCATTCTCGGCAGAGGCAGCCGAAGTCGCAGTTCTGTTTGCCCAAGGACCTGGCAGGTGTGGTGTGTTCGGGGCAAATAGAGCAGAGCTGGGACCCCTTACCGCCACGAGCAACTGAGTCCAGGAGTGGGGAGTGGGCCAAATGAAAGGCAGCTGAACTACTAGTGAGGACGTTGGTTGGGTGTTTTCCTTTGAAAAGTTTATGTGAAACACAAGCAATCTGCCAGTTTTAAAATAAAAAATGTAAAAAGTGACAAAATGTTCTCCAAAAACTAGCCACAAGTATTTTTAAAACATCCTGTTGTTGTACTCTGTGTTCAGCTAAAGTACATGGAAAAGGAAGAAAAGTCCAGAGATGGAGGTAAAGACAATGAGAACCTTCTAGAAAAGAAGGCAGGAAGAGAAGGAGGCAGAGGAAATGAGAAAGAAACTTCCATCAGCTCTGAAGCGCAGCAGAAACTACCACCCCTTTTTGTTTGGTGCTCTCATTACTTGTAATAAGTCAAACAATGCCTAGGCTTATAAAGAGGAAAATAATAATACCCTTAATATGGGAGAGAGGGAGAATTCATAGAATTTCCACAGTAAAGCACTGTTCCTTCCTTTTCATTTCTGCTTCCTTGCTTTGGCCAGGTTTGATTGAATGTGGAACATTATAAACTTTATCTTGTATGCTAAATATTTTTGTATTCCTATAAATATTCTTGAGCTTGTTCTGGGACACAGTTACTTGGAAACAGTTTGATTCTTTCAGGTTTGCTTTTGAACTTCGTTAGACAAGACTAGAACAGACTTGAGGACTAAATATTCCCATACTACTGAGTCCATATCCTTCTGAGTACTGTACTCAGAATCTTGTGAATTACAAAGCTTACCATTCTGATTGTGGAAACCCACATTATTCCCTGCCCATGAGAACTCTTTTCAATGTTTCTTTTCCTGACCTCAAGTGGCTTCATCCCAGGCATGCATGAAGCAGTACTCTGCTCAAGATTAGTTATGTCCAAAGCTAGCTCTCTCTCCTCCTACCCTTAACTGCCTCCTCTGTGGTGTTCTGTTCTGCTACCTTTGGCCTCCATGGCTTCCTGAACTCTGCCTTCCCAGCTCTGCTTTTGCAATTCAGATAGCCCACTGGTCTCCACCTGGGTTCCCTCTCCCTGCACTGCAGCCTGGAAATTCTTTCCAGACAGACAGCCAACGTCATCATGAGGCTCACCTCATTCTTTTCCACCCTTTTGGGGAATCGCTGTCTTGCACTACCTAATGTCCATGTCCAAAACCCATTCTGTCATATATTTTATTGGCTTAGTTATCTCAGGAAGAGCAGTAAATCTGATATGTCATGAACATGGCCAGGGAATAGGACCTAATCTAAGATAGGCCCTGGTGGGGTCTCTCTCCTGGAACTGGAATCCACATTGTGGAGGCCACAAGAAGTTAATGCACATGAAAGACAAAAATGAAGCAGGGGGAGTGGAGAAGATGGGTTGGAAGAGGGCTGATGACTTTGCAATTTTTTTTCAAGTTCTTTCCTGAGGATCACAGCATTCCTACCTTTGAGCTTCTTGAGACACCTGTTACCTAAGAGCAAAATTCCCTTCTCTAATGAAAGTGCATCTAGTTGGCTTCTCCTAGAGACATGCACCAGACAATGACATTTTGGTCAATGATGAACTGCATATACAGGGGTAATCCAGTAAGATGATGTCTGCACACATCATAGCCATCTTAGATTGTGTAAGACACCCTATGATGGTCACACAACAAAATCACCTAACAATGCATTTCTTCGAATGCATCCTTTGATACATGACTATTCTTGCAATCAAAGCGTTCTAACTCACACAGGACCCCTGCAGGCAAAGGGGCAGGGAAAAGGCCATTGAAAAGGAACAAATGAGGCTTCTTTAATCAATGGAAATGTTCTCTTGGAAGGGGGAGAAATAGGCAGCCCAAGTACACTTTTCTTCCTGTAGTATAAGAGGAAAATAAATTTGGAGATAAAAAGGAAGGAAGTGCTTCTGGAAAATATTGGTTGTCCCAATAAGATATACAAAAGTCTTCTGTGGAGCATGAGACAACAGGTAGAATTTGGGTACTTAGGAGCGTGGGAAAGGCAGAGTGAACACCACATGTGGGAACAGAGCTGGGTAGCAGACAGAGTGGAACAATGAGAGTACTTACTGAGGAGTAATGGGAAGTCACAGCTTATGAATGTGCAACCTGCAGACATGGACTGAGGGAGATTGGTCATGAGATTTCCTGGATTAATCACAGCAATCACAGCAGATCCTCAGTCCATCCAACTGCAATACACACAAAAACACACAGAAAAGCATGTCCACAGCTGCCAGACTACCAAGTTTGAAGAACCTACAGTCCACTGAAGTTCAAGTCAAAAGAGGAGCCTTTTGACATACAGGGCTTAAGAGTGATGTGAAAACCATGGCTTTGAACTAGTTCAGAAAGTGCCTATCAGTGCCTCGACCTTGCCTGCTTTGTGGTCTCAGGCATTGGCTTCCTCTGGCAGGACAAAGGCTGACAGAGAATGGGGTGGGGCTGGTCCAACACCAAAAGAGAACCATAAATTGCATCTTTTATTTTCTCCTCTTGTATCTCAGTGATTCTCAACAAAGATGGCACTCCTCCTTTAGGGAATATTTTCAAAATAAAGACACTGTGGGGCATTATGATAAGAGGGTACTTTAGTGGCACTGAGAAATGTGGGTCAGGGATGCTAGACATCTAGACATCCTGCAACAAGTACTGGAAAATGAAGAACTGACTGTGACTTTTAAATGTTCTACAAGACATTCATTTAAATGAAAAACCTATTTATGGTTATCTGTGTGTAGAACCTATTCCTGTGTTACAAATAAATACAATGTACCTCTTGAATTTTCCAAGAACGCAACAACTGTGTAAATTGAGGGAAGATTGTTCTCTGGTTTGGAACTTTACCAAGAGTTGTTTGTCCTTTCAGGAAAATCATGTGCCAAAGGTAATGTTGTTCAAGCTTTTGTGTTTGCATTGCACATTGCCAATTCCACATACTCATGCTGTCTCCACAGTGATTCATGGCTGTTGCAAGGAGGGTTGATGAAAACATAATCACCTTTGGTATAATTGTGCTTGAGCATTTACATATGGAAATGTATATTTTATTGTAAGTGACATTTCACTTATTTCTTCTTTATATTACAACATAGTTATTACATAGAATTAGGGTTTTAGTTAGTTAGGGCTTTTATAATAAGATACCACAGATCAGGTGGCTTGAAAAACAAATTTATTTTGTCATAGTTCTGGAGGGTAGAGATCTGAGATCAAGGTGTCAGCAAAATTGGCTCCTTATGAGGGCCGTGAGGAAGGATTTGCTCCAGGCCCAGCTCTTCTTGGCTTGTGGTGGTCTTCTCACTGTATGTGTCATCCACAGCATCTTCTCATGCATGTGTCTATGTGCAAATTTCCTCTTTTTTTTTTTTTTGGTGGGACTGGAATTTGAACTCAGGGCTTCACTCTTACAAAGCAGGCTTTCTACCACTGGAGCCACACCTCCCATCCCAAATTTCCTCTTTTTTACAAGGGTATCTATTATATTACATTAGGGTCCATCCTAATGACCTCCTTTAAACTGTATTACCTTTTTAAAAGCCATTCTCCAAATACAATCATAGTGGGAGGTAGTAGGGTTAGGACTTCACATATAAATTTCTGGGGGTAGGGAGCATAATTCAGTCCATAACAATTGTAGATAGGTAAATATATCATTATTGTATATAAACTTTATTTCAATATAGGAAAAGGAGTAATTAAAAATATTTATTTAAAAACAGGGACATTTGGTATGATAGGGTTAAGAACTACTGTTGGTGTGATTTCTTAGTCAGATGATAGGAAATGGGGGAGGGGCACACTGGTGAGTGCTTCCTCTTACTTCTGACTTCCAGCCCAATTGTTTTACCCAGGATTGTCTTGATAGAACAAATGGAGAGAGAGTAGGGAAAAGAAATAGCTGGCTAGTGGGTAAAAGAAGATAAGGGGTCCAAGGACACCAACTTAACTGTAGAAATAGTGAAGAGGCTGTGAGTGCCTTGCTGAAAATCCTTTAAACAGATCTTTAATTCTAAAGCTTAGCTAATCAGTGCCAATTTACTTTTCTACTTCTTGATACTTTTTAAAAATTTCTTTCTGCTCATCCCTAATGTGCTCTACTACTCAGGTGAATCAGTCTTCTTCTTACTCTAGAAATAACTTCATGTCTGCTTTCCTGTTCAAGAAATTCTGTGACTTTCTTCTTTCTCTCCAAATCTTATGCAGTTTTCAAAGCTACAGAGTTTTCTCACCACATGGCTCCTTGAAACTGATGAAATTGAGCAATTGGTAGGCAAAATAGAATCTAAAAAGTCACAAATGAAGAGGCCATGAGGAAACAAGGTTCATGTGACTGCTGAAAGTAATCAGACATCAACATTCTTTTTGGGAAACCAAAAAGAGTAAAATGATTCATTGGTAGTAAAAGGAGGATTAGAAGCAGAAAGGAGAATAACTGAGTGAGCACCATGGTGTTATGATAGGTAGGACACTGATGACTGCTGAAAGAGTTAAACAACTCTGTCCCTAGAGCTGAGCTATGGT